CGGCCCGCCCCTTCCTGCCGTTCCGGCGGCGGACCGGGGCCCGCGCGAGGGGGCGGGCGCGCCCAGGGCCTGCGGGAGCGCAGCGGGCTCCTCCGGCGCCGTTGAGTGTGGGGCTCTGGCCACTGGACGCGCGTCCCGGGCGCATGGCGGGAGCAGTCGCTGGCCCCACGATGATTGAATCGGGGCCGTGGACAGTCGCCCTGGGAGCGGGTCGGTTTGCTGAGGCTTCAAGGTCAGGGTCTCCTGCCACGTCTCCTCCATCACTCAGTCGTGGCTGGCCGTAGGTGGCTGCAGTCGCAGAGTCGGGACCTGGGCGCTGCGGGCTCAGGGGCCCAAGAGTTCCAGGCAGTCATCAGACAAGGCTCGGGCGACAGGCATGGTCTCCCAAGGCCAGGCTACGGGCAGCAAGTTTGCCAGGCAACACAACCGGCAGGGAGAGCAACGGAGGCCAGGGGCCGGTTCAGGCCTGCGTGCGAGTTCTGGTTTAGGCTTGTGCTCTTTGCGGGTGGCGTGAGAGAGTCCTTGTCCTTCCCAGGTGAGGCCCTCACCGGCGCCATCCCTGAGAGGTCCACCTGGTCTTCTGGCAGATCCTGCATCTTGCTGAGTGGAGGTGACTCTGGGTCCCCCAGTTCTTTCTCTGAAGAAGATCTTCCACTGGCCGTGGGGCAGAGCAAGAACTGCAGCATTTCGTTCGATGTACATGCTACCTGATGGGCAATGCTGCTTGTTAACTGGTATTTTTATGGCTGAGGCTTCCACACATTTCTCAGAGTGACCTTTGTGTTGATTGTCTGAAAGAACGCAGAATGGCAATGCCTGCCTCTCAGGAAGGGACCAAGCTCAGAGAAGGGGAGTGGCTTTCAAGGCAATGTGCCACTGCGTACCATTAGGCATTACCCACAGGAAGTGCAGATATGCCTGTGAAAGCACAATCCTGTGGATTGCGCCCCTTGAGAAGGAGGTTTCCACCACAGCAGTGTTCTGCCGAGCACCCCGCTGATGGAAAACCTGTGCAGTAGAACCAGGGAGGCCAGCCCCGGATTCCTTGTAGGTTCTCTGAAGCAGGATTTGCATTCTTCAGGTGCCCTTGGGTGGCTCTTAGTACAGCGGAGGAGGCAGGAGGGGGTCAGCTTTGGGGTCCATCTTTTACAGTTGGAGCAGCATTCACACCTCCAAGAGAGGGACTTTTCCACAGTGCAAAGATGCTACAGCGGCAGCGATGTTCTCTGGGGATCATAGATTGGTCTTTTGGGTGGGGCACAAATTCTACCCTGTTCCACTGAAATACATGAGGCTTATTTCCAAGTCATCCTGTTTAGAATTGTAGCAATCCTTGACCACCTTGCAATATGCTGGGAAGAAGGAGTGGTTTTAGGAATGCCTGCATGCATATTTGCCCTCCTGCCCCTTGAGATTGGCGTCAGAGACTCTTCTCCGGGAACCTTCCGTGAAAGATATTAGGAGGGTGAGTACCCGGAGGAGAGCTTTCTCTGCGGTGGCACCCCACTTATGGAATGCACTCCCCAGAGATGTCCTCCTGGTGCCGTCATTATTTGTTTTTCGGTGCCAGGCCAAGGCCTTTTTATTCAAATGATATTTTAATGATTATTGATTTTATTTATTGGTTTTATAATATCGAGCCAGGATGTTTCCAGATTTTATATGTATGTATTTTATATGTATTTATAATGTTGGAAGCCGTCCCGAGGTTTATGCGAATGGGACGGCATACAAAAATTCCAAATAAATAAAATGGGGATGAGGTCTGTGTGTGTTCTAGGCCTGAAGTTGATTGGCAGTGCCGGGAGCAGGCTGCTTGGTATGTTTGTCCTTGAGACAGAGCTTGACTGTCCAGCCAGCTGAGAACGCACCCTCCAGTGATGCAGTTGGATTGTCTGCAGAGCCAGTGTGGTGTGGTGGTTAAAAGCATGGGACTGGGACTCAGGGGATCTGGGTTCTAGTCCCCGCTCGGCCATGGAGCCCACTGGGTGACTCTGGGCCAGTCACAGACTCTCAGCCCAACCTACCTCACAGGGTCATTGTTGTGGGGATAAGATGGAGGAGGAGATGTAAGCTGCCTTGAGCCCTTTGCAGGAAAAAGGCAGGATATAAATTGGAAAATGAATAAAATCCGTGGCCTGTGGACAGAAGGCCTGAGTCTGGCTGGAACAGCCAGGGCTTGTGAATCCGCAAGCTGGAATGTCGCCCAATACAGTTGGCACAGGCTGAATTTTGCATGCTGTACGCAGTGTCCTGCTTAGCCAGTGTTCCCCGTCACCAGTACAGCTTGAGGTAGGTTGACTGAATGTCGGAACGAGCATTGAGAAGAAGGCGTGGGTGTCCCTCTTCTCGCTGCTGGAATGCCAGTGCTGGGAGGTCTTCAGTTCATTGCATGGTTGAGGGAGATGATTTATCTTTCCGTCCTCGTGTTATGAGCCTCTTGGCCACCATGGGGGCTTGTATAGGCCACTTGCACTGGCGCAAGGACAGCTTCCATGTTCTGGGAATGTAAGGCAGTAGCACATGGACATCTTTAAACAGGAGTGACAAGGTTGACGTGTCTCACTGCTTTTGTCCAGAAGGGGCCACCACTGGGCATTTCCACAGCATGGATGTTTCTGCTGTCATGCATGGCCAACATTTATTGGAGAGCCATACTATTTTCTGAAACAAGAGCTGTGGGGTCAAATATGCCCCAAAGACCAGCTGTTGCTGTACAAGGTGCAGTTTTAAGACTTTCCCAAGACTGCATAAAAAAACTCCTGGAAAACAACGCTTAGCTTGTTGGTCTTTGGTTTGAATAAGCTGTTGTTTAAATCAGCACAAATAAGCTTTCCCATTGTGGATTTTAATTCTGCTCACTGGAGATTTTTAGTTTAGACTCTTAACTTTCAAGAGAGACTAAGATGAGCTGCACTTGACCTTCTGTTCCTTTGGAGTCAGAAAAGAATCCCACAGAACATTTCTTATGCAGATTTACGGGGAGGCTTTTTGTCCCTGGGAATGTTTTGGTTGATAGGAAACTGAAAAAGACAGGAGTCTGAAATATGGGGACTCTTTTGACTAGGCAGTTTTAGACAATGTCGTTGAAGGACTAGACCAGGGGTCGGCAACCTGTGGCCCCAGAGCTGCACATGGCTCTTGAATCCCTCTGCTGTGGTTCTGTCGCTCAAAACACATGCCGGCACAGCTGCCGATCTGCCACCCGATCTGCGACAGGAGCCGATTTATTGAGCTTTTCACGATTCACTGAGCTTTTTCCCCCGGTAGGCCAACCATGGATAAAGAAAAGAAAAGTTTCTGAAGAAAACCAAACGTTTAATGGTATGTGGGTAGATTCATTTGCTTTTACTGCTGACAAACTTACGGGGTTTGCTGTTTAATGCATGCAGCCCTTTAGCACTGACTTTGCAGGAAGCTGTTCTCTTAATCAAAATATATGAAAGGCGTCCTTCTAGTTTATAATGTAAGATTAAAAATAACAGTTTTTAGTGAATGAACAAGAGCTGCAGCTAAATCATAAGATATAGATCTACTTCCTTGTTTTAAGAAGATTCTTATAAAAATTACAGCAACATTATTACATTGGGAGAGGGATGTTTGTTCAATATTTCACCAGACTATTATTCATATTTGTTGTATTGCAGAAACTCTACTTACTGTATGAAAGTATCAATTAGCCCTTTTTTAATTCAGGTTGACAGCTGATTGCATCCTCCGGTACATGTGATAAAAGGATGAGGGCACACAGAAGCAGACGGCATTTTTGGTTTGCTGCAGGTGGATAATGTAAGCGGCTTTTGATTTCAGCTTGTATGCTGTGAGCCGCCCCGAGGCTTCGGCAAGGGGCAGCATAGAAATGTTTTAATAAATAAATAAATACGAGGAGGACTCAAATAGACATTGAGTATTTTATTTGAAAGTAACTGTCAACCCGGCATCTTTTTTTTCAGAGTTCAAAATGTTTTTGTTGCATGCAGAAATAAAAATATGTTTTCTCTGTAGCAGTTCATTGATTTCATAAATGCAGCACACTATAGGTTTTTTATACATAGCATAAAGGTAAAAGACGATATAAGCCAGCAGGACCTCAGAGTCCTAAAGGAACAGCATAAGTACAAACAGTACACAAGAAATAATACATAAGATAAATTAAAACACAATACAAATAGATTTTTTTAAAGAGATCAAAGAAGAAGGACAAGTACACAGTAAATGGCACATCAGGCACTGAGAGCTTAGACCTGAAGATCACAAGCACTTTAGGAGCCCTGCATGCGTGAAAAGGCCTGCACTGCCACCAGAAAGACCATCACGAGCGGGCTGGGTGAGTCTCTCTGGGAAGGCTTTTCCCCCTTGAGGTGCTGCATGAGTGTTGACGAAACGCAAATGAGGCCAGGGCCAGCTCAGGGGAAAGACGGTCCAGCAACAGGAGGGACTGTGCCAGTGCCAGCTGCCCAAACTTCGGAAAGGTGCAGGACTCCTTTTTCCTTTTGCATCTGGCCAGCACGTCCTACATGGTCAAAGAAACCGTGTGGATGCAGCACATTCCAAGATACCATAGGACAATTACTGATAAAATGACCAAAATACACCCTTGGGAAAAGTAGGAAAATTGCAGGTAAGAGTCATACTGTTGCGTACGTGCACCCTGCTTCCAAGCAGCGAGACTTCAGGGCCTCCCACACTTACCCAGGTTCCTTAGCAAGTGATCACTGGCGATTTAAAGCATTTATCTACACGTAATATACCTGGGATGGGCATAAGTTGAAGGTTCAAAGCATTTCCTTCCAACAAATTTCTGCTCTCCATCAGATGGAGTAAATTGGTAGATCTTTCCGGACAATACAGGCCAGTAGTGTTCATCTGTGAAGTTTCATTTATTCTTATTAAATGAAATAAAATACTGGCCAAAGACAGGGAAATGAGCTGGTGTGGTGGAGATTCTCAGCTGGTGACCACACTGTCTAATGATGTATAGAAGCCGGATGACTGGTTTATAATCCCGGATGATGTAACTGAGGCTTGTCAGGAGCCGTGAATTGGGGCAGATGGCTCTGCTTTTTTTCAGAGTTCTCAATGGATGCACTGAATATGAAAGCAAGTGAAGTGGTGAATCTACAAGATTCTCATCTCTGCAGTGAACGGAGTAAGGAATTGGTTCTGCAACTTTCTCAGTGTTTATTTCTTGCAGCATTTTCCAAAGAAGTCAGAAATACATTGATGCTTCTGGTTGAGAACAGATTAATTATTTGTTAGGCAAACTACCTCCTGGGGAGTATCAAAGAACAATTTTTTCCTTTGTCCTACTGATATCTTCAACTCAGTCACATGCTGGCATTAAGGTTGCTTTGGAAACTCCTCACTGGGAGGCAAAAGTATCCCGGAGGATTCCATGGACTCCCCAGGCACACATGAAGGAAGGAAGGATGGAAGGAAGGGGGAGCCGATTCATAGGCAGGGCTGGGGAGGGGGCAGTTTGATCGCCCAACTTTGAACAAATACATTGCGCTCTTGCAGCAAAGCTTACAGATGGAGACGGCTCCACGCCTGCAAATAGCACATCTGGCTCTGCTACGGGGAAGGTATAGCAGAGCCTCACCCATCCGTAGAGAACCCGTGTGAGTAGAGCCCAGGGTGTCCGACCTTGTCCAGACAGAATGGGGCTCGCTTCCCTGCTCGCATAACGTTTGCTGGGTGATCCTGGGCTGCTCTCTCATTTGCTTCCCAGGGTTGTTATGAGAACTGGGGGGGGGGGGGGGGGGGGGGGAGCAGTTGCATAGCCTGTCCTCAGCTTTATAGAGGAGAGGGACAGAACAGCTGAAACCAGATGGTGAATCAGGTCGAGGCTGCATTCCACGATTTCCAGAAGCTTATTTTCCACAAGCCCTTTCTGCATCTCGGCTCCTACCTCTTGTGTAGCAACAAGATCCATCACATGGAACTTTGTACTGTGATGTGTGTTGTAAATTGCGACTGATCTGTGAGACTGAGGAGAACTTTTATAGCATTAATTGGATTAATTTGCCATATGTGTCTAGCTAGAGAAGCTGAACTAATTTGCAATCCAAAGGAAATGGCTTGAGGAGAGCTGCAGGATATGAAGTCCACTTCTGGATTGCGTGTTCTGACTACAGACCCCATCAGTTGTCCACAGACAGATTCCTCTATCTCTTTACTGGTTTATGACTTGCTAGGTAGTAGGAACATACATAAATGCCATGATCAAAACACCATTTAAGAGAAGAGTTAGTACATTGCCAGAGCGATTCCATCTTGGCCTTTCTTGGCCTTTCTAATGGCTTTTATTTGGTAAGAGAGAAAAGACAGGGGGAGTAGTGAGAATTCACTGCAGTTCTACCAGTGGAGGATGTCTCGGCTCCTGTAAAATTTTGTGAATGGGTCAGGACAATGGCATGATAAAAACTCAGTGTACGCTGTGAGTGAAAGATTTAACTTTACCATGCGTAGCATTAGAAAACTTAATCCATAGGTATGCATGTATCATGCTGCAACTCCATTTTTAGCCAGGGAGTTCTCTGGATGGTTTGGAACAAACCTGTCTTCAAGTTCAATAACTGCCATCAAATACCTTGATAAATATGTTTTTAAAGAAAACTTTTTAAAAAAGAAACATCCTGATATGCAGCCCTTGTTATTACATCACTCATTTTCTACATAGCAGGTTCCTTGAATAAATGGGTTTCATGTGGGACCAGTTGCTCTCTGGGGCATCACGCAGGCCCAGTCCAAACACATACACTGTTCACAACTATGTGAGCAGTTCAGAGACACACAGACTCTATGTTACAAATACAGAATCATGAACATACGGGCGAACCAGTGGGAACGTCGCACGTACCTGTGCCCACACACCTGCGCCACATACACAGATGGATGGGGCACCACCCCCGCCCCTGGCAGCTCCACCAGGGAAGAACCAGTCCAGCAATGAGGTAGCAACCCACTTCCATGCATGCACAATTGAAAATGGCAGCCTCAACTGCTCATCATTTTTCAGACACACAGTGGGTGGGACCAGGAAAGGCCAGTCTCTGCAAAATTCTTGCATTTCTGAGACAACCCACCTGAGAGCCCAGAAGGGGACTAGGGGTCAGAATTGGGTGAAAACTGTGTCTCCTACTATTATTGAAACAGACTAGTAGAGTTGGAAGGGGCCACCTGATAAGGCCATTGGGTCCAACCCTGCTCTGTGCAGGACTTCAAGTTAAACCATCCCTCTCAGACGGCTGGCCAGCTGCATCTTTGAGCACAATACTTTGAAACAGTGAAATCTTAAATATTTTAATGCACTTCTTAAAATTGTGGGACAGCTTCTACTGCCCAGTGCAATGGGGAAATCATACTCCTTTGATAATGAATAAAATTTTCAACCTTAATGAGGAAAATGTTTATCTGTCTTAAGTATACGGTCATTCCCATCCCTTAGCCTGTGCCCTGCAAATCAATGGGGCCTATATTTTGCACTAAATGTTGTAGTATTCATGAACAGAAACATACATAATTGCTACCTGTTGTGTTTTGTGGCCACTGTTCATTCGCTTCAAAAGACTGATTTTCTCCATTGCAGGATTCAATCGTTAGTGTTGAGTTGGATAAAGCAGCCAATGGCAGCCAAGAATTTGCTTTGGTAGGTGGCAGGAATGGCTGGGCAATCTTGACAAAGACCACCAGCACTGCTGATCTTGATGGATAGTTTCAAGGGGCTGCCATCTTACTGAAGGTACCATTCTTTTGGTCTATGGCATGGAACCAGTGGGGCTAATGGGACATGGATCGTCATCCCATTGGCTTTAACAGGATCTGCATTTAAAACACTGGAGCCAAACCACTGCCTCACCCCAAATGCTAGCCTGCAGTCCAGCCTAGTGTTTCTTCTAGGCAGTTGCTTCCCAGAGCCACCAAGCCCTCACTCCAGATTCTCTGGATGTCTTAATCCCCGTCTTCAAATCAATGTCCTGCCCCTGCTGCTCCTACCATATCAAGCCCTGATGAGCTCAGGATCCTTCCGAATGGGTGAGGCTAAAACCGTGGCCAGGGCAGTGCATGTTGGGCCTGCTCCTGCTCCTAATCTCTCAGCATGCTGTTCCCACCGCCTCATATCCAGGCCTTTGCCACATTGAGTGGCTTGACTTCACTTGGGTTTGCGTACAGCCTGCCCTGCAGGCAAAGCGCTGTCTTTATTTCCAGCTGGGCTTGGACTTGGGTGCAGCTGATGAGATGTGTCGGCGGACTTCTCAGGGTGGCAGCTGCTAGTCCTCTGGCAGGCGGTACGTACGGCCAGCGGCCGTCCTGACATTCTCATTTCTACCTATGAAACAGCCACTGTGTTATTCCAGTTTTGCCTGCCAGGGGCTGGCTGGTCACCTAAAGCATTTTCTGTAATCTCTGTTAAATATGGGTGATCAGAAGAGAATTCCCCAGTCATGGATCTCCACTGAGGGCTTCAGTTTTGCATCTGATTCACACTTGATGAATCCACTGAATTGAGGAATACTGTGTAGCCTAATTCTAGCACATCGCTGCCCCTTTCTGTTGAGCTGTCAGAACAATGCCAGTTGGGAATTGTACAGTACAGGGCAACCCTTCTGTAAATGGAGCCTTGCTGGGCTCCTCCGCTTGGGCTGAATGATGCTCCGGTTGCCCCTTCTTGGCCTGGAATTGTCAAAGACCTGGGCCTCGCCTGCAGGGACAGCAGGAAGCAGTCAGGTTGATTTGTCCCATGCAGCTTCTCGAGAGCCTCAGAATAATAGCTTCAGATGCAGCAATCATGTTGAAGTAGCGTGGCGTACAAGGGTGCGTAAGAGCGCAGGGCTAGGAGCTGGCAGATCTCATTCACGTCTCTGTTTGGCCAGGAGGCTGCTGGCTGACCTTGAGCCAGTCACACCCTCCGCCCAGCCTGCCTCACAGGGGTCTTATTGTGGGGATCAGAATGAGCGGAGGAGAATTCTCTAAGCCACCTGGAGTGCCTTGGAAGGAAAAAGGGGAAGATAGCGATACAATATATAAAGTGCCTGTTGCCTTTTTATTGGGCTTAATTTTGTTTAAGCCTCTCTTTCATGTGGCAAAATGTTTGTTTCTCTAGTAATACATTGTCTGTAACACTCTAAAGGTTGCCCTGTTTTTGCCTCCGGAACAAATGGGCAATTTCTGGCGTATTGTTTTGGCTCTAATAGAACATGTTTGGCTGTGTTTTGCTGTTGCCGAGATGGCTCTTTGCATTCTGCGTGGCTGATGCCATTCCGAGGAGAGGCGGCATCTGGCCTGTGTGACCTCACAGAGCCTGGGCAGCGGGTTCCACGGACGTGGCAGTTGGAAGGGCAGCTGCAAAGGATGCGGTGGAGGACGGGCCCCTCCAGCAGGTCTGCATGGTGCACCACACACCTCCCCTGAGTGCTGACGCCGCTGCACACCGGCTCTGATAATGCCGTGTTCCTGAATTAAACGCCTTGAACTGAAGGAGGGCTGTGCATATCGCCCTCTGCAGGAGGTAGTGTTGATTGCTCAAAAGAAGGTGCTGCTAGATAGCTTCCTGCCCCGGCTGTTGCGATACCCAGGAGTGCCTATAACATAAATGTGTTTTAAATTCTCAAATATAGCAATGCCTTAGTCCCTTTTCTTTTGCTTATTTTCTCAAAATACATTGGGCGCCTTCCCCAGAGTCTGCAAATTCCAGAGGCACCACTTCTCCAGCCCTCCCCCTATGCTGCTGCCTGCGCCTGCCGGCCAGTGACGCCCAACTGCGAAGCAGCCTCCCTTGCCTGGCCTCTAGCCCACCCACACCTTGGAAGAGGGAAGGGCTTTGCCGCGTGTGCTGCCTTCCCACAAGGGGCTCCACTGGGGCTTACGCTCACCTGTGAGTAGAATCGCAGCCCGAAACACCCACATTCCACATGTCCTTTGTTCCCTGTGCTGCTTGTGCCTAGATGAAGGACTTGGCTCGGGAATTCTAAGAGTGTGGCAAGAGTTCACTTTCCACAGCCAGGAAGAAGCCAGTCAGATGTGTAGCAAGGTGAGTTGTGAGGGGGGTGGCTTCTGCAGCACTCAGCTGCCCCTTGGCACCCGGCACCTCTCTGTCTCATGCCGTTTGATGGCACGAGAGGTGGGGAGAACCTGCCGCAGCGAGGTTCTCTGCAGCCTAGCCAGATGCTGTTCTGCAGTTCTGAAGCCAGGATTTTAAGTAAATGCAAAAGTACTTTCTTAACAAAGCTAAGTTTACTTTGTTACTTTAAGAAAATGAAATATTGGTGTGTACGTGAAATTGCCCAGTGGATTCTATTTATGAAGCTTATTCCTTCTATTCACCCAGTAATTGCACATGTTTAACTGTTCACACCCAGTGCTGGAGATGGGGCTATGGGAGCTGGAGAGCATGGTTCTCACTTTGCACGCAGCAACCCCTTCCCTGCCGCAGAGACTTGGCCTCTCCATAGTCAGCTGGAAGTGGAACGCAGGTGACAGCTCTGCGTCACACTACCCACAGCACTGTGTTTGTGGTCACTGTCCTGCTGCTGCTGCTATCGCTTCAAGGCCAGGATGGGCTGCCCAGATGGCCGCTGGACAGCTGAAGGGGATGGCAGGTTGTGCAAATGAAAGGCAGTGGCAGAGAGCGCAACTGAACCCCCCTTGCCAGTTTGCTCTCTCTAAACCAGTTGTCCCCCTGAAGTGGGAATGGGTGTCCCAGAAGCTTTGTGGAAGAAGTGGCCGGGGGAGGGTGGGCAGGGAACGTGCCAGACCTCTTCCTCACTGCGTCTTCCCTGCAGCTCAGGCCCTCTGCTGCCATGGTGAAGCTGCTCCCTGGCCCCTGCCTGCTGCTCCCTGTCTCCGGCCTGCTCTGATGCTGGTCTCATTCAGGGTTCGGGACTCAGTTTCGACTTGTGGGAAATGGAGAAAAAGTTGTGGAAGTCACAAGGGACTTGAGCCCTAGAGAAACAGTAGGAGTAATGCAGGGATGGCTTGTGCTGTGTGTGGGCACGAAACAGCCAGTGCTATTTGGATGAGAGCGCTGGACTCCAGCCAGAAAGACCCAGGTCCAGGGCTTCTCTTGGCTTGCAGGATGCAATGGTGAGGCCATGTCCAGGCCCAGAACTCTGCAGCCGAAGGGGCAGGGGAACCAGGAATCTCTCCAGAGCTGCTTCCCATGCTGGGCTGCATGTACTTCTGGGTAGCGGTCGGTGCCTTCACTTCTCCTTCTCTTCAGGTCATTAATTCAGTGTGTTGCATTTTAGGATACAAATAGTCGAAACAACTCTCTTCTCCAAGACCATGAACCCCAACGGGAAGAAAATTCTGAGAACATTCCCAGCAGGTAAGGTTGTGATATGTTGCGATTCATTGCCATGTGCAAATTATAGGGAGCTTCACCTGCGAGGTCCGTCATAGTGATGCAGGGGCATTTGCCTCTTGAAGGGAGTCCCGCCTTGGCACGTGGCTTGTGGCTGCTTATACCACATGGCACACCAAGATGAGCGCTCCTGCAGCCTGCCACAAGCAGGACATGCGTGGCCCGGCTGGAGCACCTCTGGGAACCATTTGGGTAGATGTGACACATTTGGCCACGGAAAAGCCTATTCACACTGGGGCAGGTCCAAAGTGTTGCTTTGTTCTTTTTGCCACTTGGGGAGGGGAGGATGTGGAGGGAAGGGCAAGCTAAGCTTTCCCTCTGTGAGGCTGAGGGCAAAACAGGAGTGATTATTAGCAGAGAGGTTACCACTCAGATGAGGCAACAGATGGATCCAAATGTTCTCTTGCTCCCTCATCAACGAAGCATTGCTGCTGCTTTGAGTGGGAGCTGAGGACGAGCTGCAGCAAGCGGCCTCTTGGCATTCCTCTGTCCTCGAGCGGCCACTCTAGTCTGCAGTTTGTGAGGAAGCAGCTGCAGCAGTCCTGTTGATCTTGATATTGCTTGGAACCTGAAGCAGAGATGACCCAGCAGCACTGGCCTGGGCAGTTTGTCAAGACTGGAAGCATGCAAGGAGAATCAGGGTAACCTTGCGTGGCAGGGAAGCCAGACTTTTGCAGACTTTTCCTCAAACTTGTGTTACTGCTAAGCAGGTGAGCCATGCCACTTCTGCAGACCCATCTCAGCCAGAAATGCCACCCCCACTCCGGTCCTTTTCTCACTCTGATAACAGAATTGCAGTTATTAAAAACATATAACAAGCATGAGCAAAGTCCCACTCAGAAGAGCGTTCCGGTGGGGCTCCTGCTTCCGTGGCTGCCGTTGCTCGGCCAGCGGAGTGCAGCAGGGGCTGCTAGAGGGAGGGAAGCCCAGGCCGCCTGCACATGCATTTCCAGATTCTGATCCCAGCTGGATTTCAGATTTCTAGACTCTCACCTTGCCCAGTTGGGTTCACAGCACCATGCAACATTTGAAGTGTTAGGCAGAAATAGTTTTTCAAACACCAGCTCACAGTCAAGAGGAGGCTCCAGTCCCAAGCACACATTAAAGGGAGTGTGCCCCAGTGCACCAATTTTAGGGGAAAATGGGATCTTTCGTTAAGGGTGGAGTCCCACAGATGCTTAGCAGGGAGCAGGGACTTTGTCAAGTTATTTCAGAGTGCATCATACAGTGAGTTCTGTACTTCTCTTCAGTAATCACCAGCACACATAGAGAGACACTTCTCTGTTTGCAGTGGGAACAAAGCATTATGTGAAGGTTACAGAAAGATGCCACAATGGTTTTACTTCCAGTGGACTGTGTCCAAGTGAGGCCTCAAGCACCAAAGAGTCCTAAGGCAGAAATCCCCGAAACAGAAAGACAGACAGTGCTGGTGCAGCATGATGCAAGGAGACTGAAGTCAAGTTTGGTTCAATGCTGTGGGCAATAGTTGGAATTTAAATTCAGATATGCCAGACCCCAAACCTAACATTCCCTACTGGACCATGATGACATTTCTGTCACATCATAATCTGGAAAAACACCTCCATTACTTATGCAATCTAGAAGACATATGTATGTGTGTCTATATAAGTTCACAACCCACACGTAGGGTGGCACAGGGAGATGCATGGAAGAAGGGGTGAACAGTCTGCTGATCATATTTGCAGACGACACTAAAACTGGGGCAGTGGCCACAACTGAGGAGCAGGTACTGCAGATCCAAAAGGATCTGGACAGACTATGGAAGTGGGCAGGAGACAACAGGATGGCGTTCAGTGTGGACAAGTACAAGGTCTTGCCCTTGGGGCATAGGAATAGGTGTCATAAGTACAGGTTAGGGGACAAGTGGCTGGAGAGCAGTGTTTGTGAAAAGGACCTCGGGGTGCTGGTTGATTGCAGGCTAAACATGAGTCAGCAGTGTGATGCGGCGGTCAAGAGGGCGAACGCCACCCTTGGCTGCATAGCCAGAAGTGTGGCTTCTAGATCAAGAGAGGAATTACTACCACTCTGTACGACTCTGGTGTGCCTGCAACTGGAGTATTGTGCTCAGTTTTGGGCCCCTCATTACAGAAAGGATATAGCCAGGTTAGAGTCAGTGCAGCGCAGGGCCACAAGGTTGGTGGCTGGTTTGCAGGGGATGCCGTATGAGGCGAGACTGAGGGAACTGGGTCTCTTCAGCCTGGAGAAGAGGAGACTCAGAGGGGATCTGCTGGCAACATGCAGGTATGTGAGGGGGTGTCACACGGAGATGGGTAGAGACCTGTTCTCCCCTGCAGAGGAAGGCAGGATGCGCTCCAACGGGGCAAAGCTCAGGGAACCCAGGTTCCATTTGGATGCCAGGAAGCACTTCCTGACAGTTGGGACCCCGAGGGTGTGCAATGGGCTTCCACAAGAGGTGGTTGAGGCCCCATCGGTGCGGGTGTTCAAGGACAGGCTGGATGTCCACATGGTGAGTGGAGCCGGCTGGAGCAGACTAAATGGCCCGGGAGACCCCTTCTGACTCGCTCTGTTTCTATGTTTCTATGCCAGGACTTGAAGCATTGGAAGAGCTGGGACTGAGGGTTCAGCAAGGCACAGAGGGCAACTGTTACAGCCCACCCCCCAGAGTAGCAAACATACCTTTTAATAACAGGCCAGAGCAAACAATGAGGGTATCTCTGATCCTAACAGAAGCTTCCACAGGAGTCTCACTCTCTGATCTGAGCCACAAATAGTTGAGGCTGTTTGCTGGTTTGACCAAGGGTGTCCTGCTGCCTCGAGTGAAGGTTGGGGTGAGGGTACTGCTTGCAGTGGAGCTTTCCTGGTCCTGTATAGGAATTAGCCAAGAGAAGGGGAAGCAGGCATTGTAGTGCAATGGACAATGAGTGCAAAAGTGTTTGCTGCCCTTCCCAAATGTAGCACGCTAAGCGATTAATATTGTTCCAAAGCCTGCAGGCATGCGGCCTTGAAACACAGACGAGGCAGGAAACAGCAGAGTCCAGTGGTTGCGTGAGTGATGAAGATGAAGGCATAGCCCAGAGACTGTCTACCCAGCCCAGAGGTACCCGTGTGCATGTCTGCATTACATTGCCCTGGTCTTTCGGTGTCACTGGAACCATTCCCTTGCGTCAGCCGCTAGAGCAGCCTTCCCCAGCCGGGTGCCTTCCATGTGGCTTCAGCCACAGCATGCAGCACTCTTCCCTATTGGCTGTGCTGGCTGTGGCTCCTGGGAGCTGTTCTCGAAACACGTGGAGCCACTGGTCTGGGGAAGGCTGGCATTTTGATGGTTTGTGGTGAGTGAAGACTGAAGGAGAAATATGGGGAAGTTTGCTCATTCCTTAAGCATCTGCCAAACTCCAGCACTGACAAACCTGTTTTCTACGGAGATGGACAGGCCTTTGCAGTTCCGGTGAGGCGATAAGCAGCGCCAGTGGGCTTGCATATCCTACCACCGCCTGTGCTGCTGAGCTCAGGCTCAAGCGGAGTGAAGCAGGAGGAAGCCCACGGTAAGCAGAAGAAGGGGTGCTCAGCTATCTTGCGTGTGGCGGGCAGTCAAAGCAAGTCAAGATTCCTGTTTAGAAATCCGGTTGGGAGAAGTGAGGGCGATGCATCATCACGTCTTTAGGCACAGTTGCTCATTGCTAGCATTTCTTCTACTAGCTGCAGTTAGCATGGGACTAAATAGCAGGGAAAGAAACAGGAATAAGAGAGGAATGGCAGAAGGGCGTGGGGAGAATCAAGCACAGGCCTTATCTTTTATGAGCTCCTACTGCAGACCAGCAGTTTAAATGGTAACGCTTCTTCGTAAGATTCATTGCATTCCTAATTAAAAGCAAGGTTCGCTTTAAAGCCGCCAGGACGAGTGTCGTACCGGCAGGAGCTGTTCAGCCCACTGCTGCCCTGGGGCGGCAGCTTCTGTTCTCTTTGTGGGGAGAGGAGCACTGCCTTTGCCAGAACTGGGCCTTCTCTGCCTGACATGTACCATTATCCAACCACATGATCATGCGAGGGAATAGAAGGATGATGTTTGTTTGAGCTTTTATATACCGCTTGCTGAGCTAGAGGCTCTTTGACACTGTGCAAGACACTCATTCCTGTTTGCTCCACATCTGACTTTTAGTACCTGCCTTTTCTTGCTGAAATAATACCCCCACAAGTGGCTGGAACACCTGGGAGGCCCTCGGGGTGCTGACCCACAGGCTCCCCGAGCGCATGATAAGTCACAACCATATAATAAATACCTCGCGCAGCAAAGCCCATTGGTTCACCCACTTTTAAGTCTGGATTCACCACAAGGTCAATTTATTATGTTAAAATGGACAAAAAATGCAGGCGACATGATACTAACCATCACATTGATTGATTGATTTATGATAAAGGATATTATCCTATATAATAGCCTTTTTCCTACAAAGGGCTCAAGGCTGCTTACATCATTCTCCTCCTCCATCTTATCCCCACAACAACAACCCTGTGGGGTAGGTTGGGCTGAGAGTCTGTGACTGGCCCAAAGTCACCCAGCGGGCTCCATGGCCGAGCAGGGACTGGAACCCAGATCCCCTGAGTCCCAGTCCCATGCTCTGAACCACTACACCACACTGACTCTCCCATATTACACATTGTCACATATTATCTATATCCATTTTAATATGCCAAGAGTGCAATGCCTTCCATTTGGAAAGAAAATCTAGACAAAACAATGCCAGAACTGACCAAGTGGAAAACCTAGTCTGGCTGGAATCATTCAATATAAATTCCAAGAGAGGAGACGCAAAGGAGCCGAGCAACTAGGCTGCCCGGGTGACACAGTCACAGACTGGCAGCCCAACCTACGTGTACCTTGCAGAGCTGCTGATGTGGGGTGTGATTGAGAGCAGGAGGGGAATGATGCAAGCTGTTTTGAGTTCTCTAAAAAAGATAATTGGAGGCTATAAATCCATTTTTTAAAAAATTTGTTGTATTGTTATTATTTATGTATTTATGTATTCTTTGTGAGCCGCCCCGAGACTTTGTTGCGATGGGGGCAGCATAGAAATGTTTTAAATAAATAAATAAAATAAAATAAGTATTTCAGAGCCACACCTTGACCTCTTAATCAGACATCGCTCGTCTAAAGACCTACCAGTGCCTGGCACTTCCCAAAGCCAGTGCAGGCATGTCTGTCTGGAACACCTTTTCTTAAATCACACTGAGATCGTAACAGCAATCTTGGAAACCGGTTTCATGGGGCAGGGACTGCGCTGGCCTACACCGTCTCTGCCTGGGGTGATTTGTGTTCCTGGTTTCTCTCCAGCCAGAAATTAGCACTGAGTTTGTTTTCTGTCAATTGAACAGGGGTAGTTCTTGTCAGTGAAGAAGAGCTGGCTCAGTTGGCCCAGCTGAAGCCATCGCTGTCCAAAAGTATTCTGCAACATAATGCGGGGAATCTGATCCAGAAACTTCAGAGGCAGATGGAACAGCAAGAGATCCTGGCAGAGTTTGTGGTGAGTCCCCCAGGCCATGGGTCTGAGTGTGGCTGTAGCAGCAGAAACAGGCGCACCTGTTCTCTTCCCTCGTGCTCCAGTGCAGGAGGACCTTGACGCAGTCACTGCGCACAGTCAGTGCTTCTGAGCTCAGGCTTGCCATAGTCACACAGTATGTTGTAGGGTTGTGCAGTTTGCCTTAGAACTGAGGTAGCAATTCTGAACATCACTGGGGAACACTTAAAGAGAACAATATTTTATTTATTCTGGATATATTGAATCTTCATAGTTTATTTATGACTTCATTGCTATTAGCCCTTTGGTTGTGCATTGTCACGTTGTCTTTCTGTTGCTTTATGGATTTTAATATGATGTAAGCCACTCAGAGAGCCTATGACTAGTAGGACAACATATAAATTGGATGGACGGACAGACAGAATATTGGGTTGCTGCCCCATAACAGTATTAAATGGAATTGTACTGTTTGCCATAGCAAATATTTGTCATTTTAAAGAATTGAACTCACAGATACTGATGACAGCTTAGAAAAAGGCAAAGAAATGCCCCAAAGGGCAGGTTGCAAGGGTCCAAGGAAGTGCCCCAAATGGCAGGCATGATGGATGTTGTAGTCCCACAAAACCCAAAGGCCTAGATTGTCCCCTCGTGTACTCTTAAAGACTTGGGTGTGGGTCAGGATGAGGCTCACTGGAATCCCTCCTGCAGCATCTGCAGGCTTCCTCTCATGCTCTGCTCAGCCCCACAAAGCAAGCCAAGCTGAGAGAAAGCCCAAGAGTGGCAAATGCTACCTCTGGGTCAGTCAGAAGATCTCTCTCAAAAGAGGAGAAGGGGGTGCGCTTAATGTTCACACACATATGCCCCCTCCTTTCTTCTCTTACCAAAACACCTTTGCAAATGAAGCATCTTTCATCTCTCTCTGCTTTAGGCTTTAGAACACATGAAGCCACTTGATGATTGCCAGGTTGCCAAAGCACCAGAAAACCGTGAAAAGAACAGATACCGAGATATTCTCCCATGTAAGCAAAGAAAATATTAATGTAACTTTCCAGAAGTGGGGGAAACACACAAGTCCGAGGCGAAATGACATGGGACTGGCTTGGGTACAGAGCTGATCTGGAATTGAAGCTATGGGCCCCAAGCTGGGCTTGCTACCAGACAATGATAATGATCCTGTTCCCTTGAGAAGGGTCCTCAGACGTTTTCACCAGGGGGCCAGTTGAAAGGTGCCGGTGCCGGGCACAGGCCGGCAGGTCCAAATGGGCATAGCGGGCTGGATCTGACCCCCGGGCCGTCGTTTGAGGACCCAAGTCTTAAGAGCATGAGAAACTATCTCCGCATCTTACCCACAATTTAGAAGACACGCATCATTCTTTTTTATATTGCCTGTCACGCAAATTTAATACAAATAAATTGCATGTGTCCTACTGCGATTCCATGCAACATCCATGCAGAGACACGTTGGATTCCCAGGTGAGCATTGGTGCCTCACCGTGATTTGACTGCTTGACATATCACAGAAGAATTGTACATCTGCTCCTAGAAAGAGTTACTTTTGTGATCATTGCCAGAATGATGATGTTGTTGCCTGAAAATGTGACCTGGGAAGCTGCCTTGGCCAGATGCAACTGAGAACGTCTGCTCTGTCTGGCAGCAGTTTTCCAAGGTCTCCAGCAGGCCTCTGCCCATGCCTAGCCCAGCAGAAGCCGACCTCTGCTCTCCAGGGATCAGTGAGCTGCATCCTCGAGCAATTCAGGGACCGGCGGAACTCCTTATTCTTGGGAAGTCAGGGAGGATGGGTGCTCCCATATGTACCTACCCAACCCTTAGGACTGGGTTCAAAGCCCTTCTGAAGGAGCTGTCCTCTGAGGAGGATGGCAAGCAGAGGGGGCCCTTCTCAGCAGCTGCCTCCCATTCATGGAGCAGCTGCCCAACAGCTTGCCTGGCGCCTTCTTTACAATCCTTTCAGCGCCAGGCAAAAACAATTTTATTCTCTAGATATGTTAATAATTGGTTTTAATTTTGTATAATTTATAAAATATTTAATTGGAATTAAATGCTAGCTTGTTTTAGATCTTAATTGTATTGTTTTAAAACTCTCAGGTCAAACTCTTAACTGCATATTGTTTATTATATTATGTATTGTATTGTAAATTAATTACACATTGCCACAGTTTGTGTCTGTGATGGTATGTTCTTATCACTGGTTGATTGCTGTGTTGTGTATTGTCACTGCTTGTTTTGTTTTTGTGTGTTTTGTAAATCCACTTAGAGAGTCCTGCTGGATTATTGATTAAGCAGAATGTAAATTCAATGCTACATAAATAAATAAGTGGCAGATGAACAGAGGATTTTGTTCCCATCTTCAAAAAGGACGATCCTGGGAACTACGGACCAGTTAGTCTGAAATCAGTCCTTGGAAAAATTCTGGGACAAATAATGAAGAAGTCAGTCTGAAAGCACCTTGAAAACAGGATGACCGAATAAGAGCTGGATTGAAGCCAGAGCCGAGCAGGGCTGTCATGGATAGGGCATTGTGGAGGCTTTCATGGACAGGGTTGTCCTACTCTGGGGAGGACCTGGTGGCCCAGAACGATGACAGGGCCGTTTTGAAGTCCTGTGGTGGAATCATACCTGGCTGCTGTGACCGTGTCAGTGCAGTGGAGGCCAGCAGGGCATTTTTGAGTTGCGACGAGTCTCCTCCAATTTGCTTTCTGGGTGAACTGAGTCCTCTGGAGTCTGCTGTGGAATCCTTTTGTAGGGACGTTTGCAGACAAAATTTCTCACCTCCATTCCAGTGTAGCCTTCAGGTTAGAGCTGGAGCAAGCAAAGAATGCAAACCCTTCCTGGTGTAAAGGGATAATCTCCCCTTACTGCAGCCGATAGGGGAGAACTGGGCTGCGCAACTGCAGCTTCTGGAGGCTCCTTTATTTACTTATGTATTAAAGCTGTTTGGGCAGTTCAAAGACTTACCAAGTCTAGACGAGGTGAAATGCCTAGTTAGATTCAGAAAGCAGCGAGTGCTTTCCTGAGGTTGTTTTGCCCTGCCCAAAGCAACACTTCATCAGGACCTTCCTAAATAGCCAACAGCCAATCTCCTTCTTTGAGGCAAGGTGTTAGGGTGGGTGCTTTGTAAAGGATTCTCACTTGGAAAAAATGTTTGCATTTTTACTAAAACGAGCTGGTGTGATGTGGTGGTAAGAATGCTGGACTGGGAACCTGGAAGATTTGGGTACTAGTCCCCACTCAGCCACAGAGCTTCCTGGGTGACTTTGAGCCAGTCATTCCCTTTCAACCTAACCCTCCTCACTGACTTGTTGTGGATTCTTGGCTTCCCACTGGATTTTTGACTTCCCAGAATCCTAGAAGAGTAGACTTGGATGGGGCCGAGAGGGCCATTGGGCCCAAGCCCCTGCTGTTGCAGGACACCAAGTCCCGCCACGCCACTCAGAGGGCTGCTGGGTTTCTTTTTGAATGTCCCTAATGCCCACGACCTTGCTAAGCATCTGGCTCCACTGCCCTCTTGCTCCAACAATTAGGAAGTTTTCCCTGATAGCTAGCCTGAATCTCGCTTGTCACAGCTTGAGCTGCTTTCTTTGTGTCCTTCTCTGATATGAGCTTCCTCTTTGTGACAGCCTTTCAGGTACTTATTAAGTGATATATTATCCCCTCCCAGGCTTCTCTTCTCAAGGCTGAACATGCCCAGTTCTCTCAGTCTCTCCTCAAAGGGCAGCGTTTCCAAACCCTGGATCATTGTTGACCTCCTCTAGACTCTTTCTAATTTTACTGCCTCTTTCTTGAATCTTGGTGCCCAGAACTGGACACTGTATTCTAGATGAGGTCTGACTAGTGAAGAGTAGAGGGTTAGGGTTACTTCTCATACTTTGGAAGTAACGCTGCTGTTACTGCATCCCAAAAGAGCATTTGCCACTTTCATAGCTGCATTGCACTGTTGGTTCATATTTAGCCTGTTGCCCACAATAACTCCAAGGTCTTTTTCCTTTTCATTTCTGTTGAACCACGTATTCCCCATCTTGTATCGATGCATCTAGTTCCTTTTTCCTAGGTGGAGAACTTGGCATTTATCGCTACTGAATCTCATTCTGTTGATTTCAGCCCAGCATTCAGGTTTATTAAGATTGACCTGGATCTTCATTCTGTTCTCTAGGATGTTCGCTATTCCCCTTGGTTTTGCATCATCTGCATATTTGATTGTTATTCCTTACACTTCCTCATCTAAATCATAAATAAAGATGCTGAAAAGCAGTGGGCCTGGGACTGAACCCCCCAGCACCCCACATTCCTCCAGCTGCATGCAATGGGAATGGTTCCTTCTGAATTCCAAAATCCTTGGTTTGCTGTCCACTTCAGCAATCCCATGCTTTGCACTCCTGTGGTCCAAATTAGCATGCTTGCTTTGGGCTTCTTTTTCTTTCTGCATGGTGCCTTGCTTTTGGTGGTTTTCCATGATGAGCAAAACAAAGTACTTCTTGGTGGTGTGCCATGGGCCAGAGACACCCACCCTGCTTTCCCCTCCAATTTGCACTCCTTGGGCCAAAGTTAATTCGCCTGCAATGTGTTGCTGGTGTAGCAAAGAAATGAGAGTGGAAAGGACTACCATGCTGTGCTGCAGAGAGCCTTGAGGATTCAGGAGGACCAAGGAAGGGAGCAGAATGCTGGCGGGACATGGCAGCGACCAGGGAGAGTGGAAACCTAGTGGTGGCAAGGCCTGCAAGGGTGTGAGAGGTGGACGCTGGTAGAAACCCGAGTGCAGGAGGGGAAGACTGAACTGAGATGAATCAGACGCAGACTGGCCAAAGCACGTTCAGAAGTGAGAGGAGGGTGTGAGAGGGAGGAGTGACTGGGCAGAAAGAGGAGATGCTCTAGTCAGAGGTTGGAAGGTACTGAGCATCTTGAAACCAAAACGCTTTTGTGCAAATAAAGCTTTGTGTTGTGCATTGTGTTGTGTGCAGAGTCATGGGCTGTTTGAGTGCCAGAGTCTCATGCTCAGGACCACACAGTCCTACAAAGGAGCCTTATTGCTTGGGCACGATTCTGTGGAAGAGGCTAAGGAACAAGACTGGCATTAAATTCCTGCTGGTGGTGTTCCATGCACAGGCAAAGAGAGGGAAACACCAAGGACATTAAATACACACCATATCCAAATAAAACATAGGAGAGCACTTGCGACAATCAGCTTTTCAGAAAGGCAGGTTCTAAAGCTAAATAATGAGGAGGAGGAGGAGGAGGAGGAGGAGGAGGAGGAGGAGGAGGAGGAGGATTGTCAGGTTGAAAGCGCCAGACTGTGCCGGCACATGGATCCTTTACAGACTCAGAAGAATGCTGGGAGCTTGTAAACGTCCTTCTCTCTGCTTTCCCAGACGATATGACACGAGTGCCTCTTGGAAAGGGGAAGGCCTACATCAACGCCAGCTACATCCGTGTGCCGGCGGGCAAGGAGGAGCTCTTCTACATCTCCACGCAGGGCCCCCTGCCCTGCACCATGAACGACTTCTGGCAAATGGTCTGGGAAAACCACTCCAATGTCATCGCCATGATCACGAAGGAAGTGGAGCATGGGATTGCGAAATGCCATCGCTACTGGCCAGAGCCGCCCCACAGTTCTGTGGCCTTGGCGCAGTTTCATCTGCAACTGGTGAACTATCAGATCCTGGACTGTTTTATCATTAGAATGATAGAAATAATGAACAAACAGGTAGAGCACACAGAGTATATATCAAACATGATTTATGCGGATACCATATTTAATCCTAGTACATGAATAAGATTAGGTGAGGATTATTTGTTGACCGACCACTTTGTGCCATCCCATAATGCCAGATGGCCAGTGCATGAGCCATGCGCTGTGTCAGCTCTGTGGTGTTTGGTGCAAAGCAAAGCCTTCAGCCATCCCTTTGATAAGAGGCAAAGTGTGCTGGAGCAATTACACAGGCATGGCCTGGGCCCACCCGGCTACCGAGAAGGTCCACATCCATTTTTGGAACCGAGCAACGGGAGGTGCAGTTGTCCTGTGGGTGGAACCTGAAGCCCTCTCTGGGGAAGCACCTTTGGCCTGATGCTTCTTTAGAGGCCCCAGCACATTCCTGCTGTGCCTTTGGGGAACCGAGACTGGCTCAGCCACAGCAGCCATAACCAAGCAGCTAGCTGGGCTTGGGGGGGGGGCATTCCCCCTCCCTTGCTAGCATGCGGCAGCCACACAGGGCGAGGTTCCTTGTCCCCCACCAGAGAGCCTGCTGGCGCTCCGGCTGTGCTTGTCTGTGTGCGCACGAGTGAGAGGCAGCAGCTGCTTAGCTAGAGGAACGCAAATTCTGTAGATGTAAACAGAATGAAATGGGTCAACTTTATATTATATTGGAACACCAACATGAATAAAAAGTATTGTTTTGGTCATTTGCAAGCCACTAGTTCTCTCTAATGAATGGAGTCCTTCCTTCCCTTCTGGGAACCTTCGGCACCGGTGGAAAGTGCAGCGTCATTGCTAAGAGCCAGGATTCCAGGGAATCCACCTGTGGGCCAGGGAGGAGGGAGGCCTTCAGCAGCATTTCCCCTTCAGAGCAAGCTGGCAGTCAGCACAGCAGTGGTGAGTGAGGCAGGCGAATGGTGCCATCGGGGGACTGGCAGGAGTCAGGGCTTGGAACTTCCACTTTTAGGCAGTAGCTTCATATGTTGAACTGACCCCTGGCTGGAAGCAAGGAGAGCTGCTCTGCACTGCTGGGCCACGGGTCTGCCTAGCCTTTGCAATGCTTTTGTTGCAGACGCAGGAGAGGCGCACTGTGCAGCACCTCCAGTTCACCGCGTGGCCGGACCACAGCACACCCAGGTCCTCGCGGCACCTCCTCCAGTTCGTTCGCTACATGCGGAAAATCCACCGCTCGGGCCCCATCGTCACCCACTGCAGTGCCGGGGTCGGAAGAAGCGGGGTGCTGCTTTGCGTGGATATTTTGCTGCACGGCATAGAGAGAGATTTATTTGTAAGTTCGCTAAAATCTTGTTCAAGCATGACCAGTTCTGTGTTAGTGTAGACAGAAGCACAGCAAGCCGGAAGGGGCCTCCTGGGCCATCAAGTCTGAGTGCTGGCACAAGCTGGCTCCACTCACAGGATGTGTGAATTATATGTAGCAGCAAAGAAACCTACTTTACAAATGTTAGCCTAGGTATTCTTGATCTTAATCAATTATAGGGAAAACATTTTAGACCCATGCAAATGTCAGGAAGAATATGGGGTGAGCCAGCCCAGCTCTTTCCCTGCTGTTTGGGAGGGACTGCAGGGCTGGCGAGTCCTTTGGTGCTCCAGGCATGCCCGCATGGCTCTCGGCAAAGAGCCTGGGCCACGGCTTCACCCCAAGGCACCCCGATTTCACAAGGTGCTTTCCCGGGATGGAGCCCCAAATGCTGTGCAAGCAGCATCCCTCCCCCACCAGCCGTGGCATGGAAGAGGGTTGTCGTTGGCTCAGTCTTCGTGCTGTGAGTGCTTGTGAGCTCCCTCTTGGCTTGCAAAATGGGCCAAGCATCTGAGGCAGTCTGGGGACAAGAGAGGTGGATTTTGCTAGAGTCCTTCCCAACCATCCTTGCTGTGGCTTTAACGTTGATCTCTGCCAGAGGGCTGTGGCAAGGGTGCGTCACCCTGGAGTGCCGCCTGAACCCTCCATCCATCCACTGGTCACTGTGAGCCATGGGTGCCTGTCCCACTGTCAACATGAGCTGCCAATAAACGGCTTTCCTTCCTTCCTGCAGTTTGACATCAAGCAAATAGTAACACATTTGAGACATCAACGTTTTGGCATGATTCAGACGAAGGTAAGAACATGGAGCACACTTTTTGGAGCCTTGATCCCATGTGTGCCCCCTATGATCCACCCCCGCCCCCCAGAGCTGAGGCTGATGAATGAAGCAGAAGCAAACTCTGTTTTACCCCTGTGCTCATGATGGTGCTGCCATTTAAAGCATGTTCATCAAACAAACTGCCTGTCCGCAGAATTTCCCAGCTGTGCTCCTGACTTAAGGGCCTGGAAACACAACTGTGTCTTCCCGTGTGAAGGGCTGCAGGAACTCACTGCACTTCTTTGCCACATAACTCTCCACTCACAAGACCACTGCAATTATTACCAAAACATTGGAAACTCCAAAGAGCCAAATAAATTACGTTGCAATTGTGCATGTGTATGTACGTTTGTTTACTTACTTTCCAAGCTGGCATTTGACGACCTGTGGTTAATGGAAGCCATCTTGCCTCTCTCTCTGTTTGCCTCTGCCACTGTAGTTTCAGTGCTTCAAAGTTTGCTAGTACTGTGGAAGCCAGAATTAGCAATGTGCTTCTGCACATCCCACCTTTTGCATGTCTCTTTTTGCATGTATGAGGGAGAGAGAGATTAACTTTAAAAGACAGAGCAATGCAGGAAGACAGGAAGTCACCCAGCAGGTGCTTGACTGTTCCAGTCTCTGCTCCTCTGCATTTCCATAGCCTTTCAAGTGGTCCAGGATGCTCTTGTTGGCTCTTGGCATGTTTGCACCCTGACATGGCCAAACCTCTCCATCAGAGCAGCATGGCCGCTTTGGGGTGAATGTGTGGCAGGTGCGGGAGCTCCCATAGCTGGAACATTTCCAGACCCTACAGGTTGTCAGTTTCCTTCCTCTTGTGGTAAGGAATATAACAGGCTGTTTCCCTCTTCCTGCCCAGGAGCAGTATATGTTTTGCTATGAAATAGCTCTTGAAGCCCTGAAGAATCTTCAGAGCAGGAATGCCCAGCTGCTGCAGTAAGGAAATCGGCTGTCATCCTCTGCTTTGGACACACTCTGCCTCTTGCAACTCATTGCGTTGAGATGGCCAAGCATCAGTGGGATTGTGTTGTACTTCAATATCTGAAAAATCTGGTTTTCTAAAGCATTACCTAAGCAAAGTAGACATAGGACTGAAAACTAGCTATAAAAATGCATGCTTGCAATTGAATGCCGTTCTACTAGTGTCTGTAATGGTGTGTTGATGTCCTGGGCAGGAACTGGGCTTAATGGCTGTGGAGTGATTCCCCTTGGATGTGGGAAAGGAACTAGATGGAGAGCAGCTGCAAGGAAGGAAAATGTCTTTCCATGGACTTCTGTCACGTGAGACCTTGTTGCTTCTTTTTGGCTGCCTGAGAAATGGACTTGAAATAGATATCGGCACCTTCGAAGATCACACCCTCCAGCTCTAGCAGTGAGTCACTCAGGTGGGCTGTTGTGAGATGAATATGCGGGACTGAATGCAGGCATCCCTGCTGGAAAAGGGATGCCCGTCAAGCCCCCTGCCCTTCCAAATGGAAGCGGGGCTTCATCTTCTGGCTGTCACGACTCCTTGCTCCCATAGAAGCATGCAGGCGGAAAGGTTCTGTCTCCTCAGGCGTCTGCCTGCTACTGAAAAGACTGGGGGCACCATGATGCATAGGGGGCAAAAAGCCCGGGTGCAAAGGGGCCCCTTCCGCCTCGGAAGTGGGGTGCTCAGCAGCTTGTGCAAGCAGGTATTCACGTCTTTGCTGTGAATGCACAGCTTGCCTTGTGACAGTTGTCAAGACAATACAAGCAACGTCCTCCCAAATGGAAATCCACTGCGAGCCCCTGGTTGGTGCCTGCTGTCTTTGGTCAGGAGGTGCCCCCCATCCCTGGGATTGCAAAGGGGGGAACTCCTGCTTTCACTTGCGTGGAAGCACACACAGCCACAGATCTGGAATAGCACTGTTCCAGCTAAAACATGAATTGATGGAGATGCAAACTGTTTTTTGAAATGGATGCCGAACTACTGACATCCTTTCCAGAGGATGGCACTCCAGGAAAGCTGTCCATAGTGGTCAAAATGGAGGTTGCAGCAGAGACCTCCAGGAAAAGCACTGAGTGGCAGGCCCACACCTTGCTGGGGGGCTCAGAGGGGAGGACGCGACTGGGCAGCAGCCATCATGCCGGCAGGCGGTGGCCAGCTGCCTCACGGCCTCCAGAAAAGTGGGCAGTTCCTTCTCTGCTCCAGAGAAGCCCACAGAGCCATGTTTGCACCCCCTATCCCTTGAGGGACTTCCATGCCCACGAGCCACGTGCCTTCTGGGGAATGAAGCAGGTGCGTTTTCCATCCTCGCAGGTGCCTGCAGCCACGGGGTGGTCTGTGTGCTAGGTGTGGAGCAACGCACTGGGTGCCACGCGCCATTTGCTGTAGGATGCTTGAGTTTCATGTGACAATGAGGATCCGGGGTAGAAAAGACAGGCCACGAAGCAGTGCTTGGGCAGCAGTCATTGCAAGTGCTCCTATCCAAGCAGCGTCCAGTGCAATGTGACTTCCAGTGGGACTAGGTGAGAGGAGAAATCTGGGCTACTAATCTCAGTGCTCCCCTGTGGGGGTGGCACTTCCAGGGGCAGATGATCCAGCAGAAGAAGGAGGTTTGAATTGCTTCCTCCCAGCTGGCCTCTCCCCTGGCCAGCCTCCCTCAGAAAAAATGCCTTGGGAGTGGGATGACGGGGGGTGGGGGGGTTGTTGATGATGGAGGAGTGAAGCATCCTCTCACCTGGACCAATGGCTGCTTCTTGCTAGTACCTGCCCTGGCACTTGTTTTATCTTGTCCTACCTTTCACAGTTTCTGGGGAATGTATTTTGCTTCTCTGAAAAGAAAACACGCAGGTGAATTTTTGAATTTGAATTTGTCTTCCTGCAGCTGCAGAATTTGTTACTGTTGGCCCTTTGGATACAACTACTCACCATAGACTGAAAGATCATAATATATATTGTTTCACCAAGGAAACAGGGTCGAAGGCATCCCAGAATCTAATTGTCATAATAATCCCATTCCAGTTTCTGCTTGGCTCAACCCAGTCCTGAATTCTGTGACCATAATCAATCTGAAGGGTCTCTGTTTCCACTAGGAGGAAGAGAAGCACAATCTGGCCTTATGTGTGAACTTCAATGATGTAGAGCTTTCTAGAAAATGATTTCACCTCACATTCTGAGTTATTTCCCCATCTGTGTCCTTTGTGCAACATTTTATGCACTCTTAGATAAACTTGCTTTGCTCAGTCTCTTACCTTTTACCTTAGTTCAAGAAAGTTACATGTATTAAGCATAATATTTAAAGTTGCACACAGATCACAATCCCTTGTACCAAACTGACTCAAAACAGTATGCAAACAAAATGCTTCTTCACTTTGTTTCCCAGCTTTGCTCAGATCTGCCTTCTAAGACTGTTAAAGCCAATCCCATTGTTCTTATGCTGACAGTCCTTGCAGTTAAAAAGACTTTACCTTATTCATTTTTAAAAACGTTTGTGTTATCTTTCCAGATGCTTGAGTAAAGAAGTTAAAGCAAGTAGTCTCTGAGTGCAGCAGTGTGATTTCTGGGTCACGGTGACAGCCTGCAGTCCCAGCCATGGCCATAAATAGGATTGGAATCAACAGAACTCATGGGCAGACTGATGGGGTGGTGGCACCGGCAGCACTCAAGCAGATGGCCATGATTCCCCCTTGCCCTTTTCCTTGCTTCACAGCCAGGCTTGCAGCCGCTTTGCCCATGCCAGGAGGCAGAATGAAGTGGCGGGTGCCAGGTCTGTACATCGCACTTCAGCCTGGACTGCCCCAGTGCCTCGAGCTGCTCAGGGCAGCACCTGCAGGGGGACCGAGCACAACACGGAATAGACCTTGGACCTCTTTCTCAGGCATGGTTGGGACGTGTGTCATATTTGTTTGTTAAAACAATTCTTTAAATGAGTGGAGGGCCTTGAAATAGCCTCCTCCAGACCAAGCCTGGCGCAGTCCACATGCCACTCCCGAAAGGCCACCTCGACAGTTGCCTGGAAAACAGAATGGCCCTGGAGGAGAGCAGCGTTCCTGTATATAAATCTGTACATGAATATATACAAGAACACCCTAGTTCTTCTGCCTGGGCAGGTCCTGTATGATGATAAAGACAGAAAGGGACAAGAGGAAAACCCCAGGTGTTACTGGCAGGCATTCCAGCCGGAAAACAGATGGTTGGAATCCCCCTTGACCCATTTCAAATGTAAAACTCTTCAGGAAAGTCAGATCCAGGCAATGCAGTGCCCAGAGCAATTCAAAAGCATGATGTTCCCAGTGCTGCACCAGGAGAGAGCCACTGAGGGATTGCAGGTCAGGACTGGGCTGGGCGCACTTGCTTGCCTGCTTCCCAGTTAGAAGCATAGAAACAGAGTGAGTCAGAAGGGGTCTCCCAGGCCATCTAGTCTGACCGCCGGCTCTAGTCAGTTCCACTCACGACATGCCCACCAGGTGCAATTCATTTACTGCAGCTGCCTCTTATCCATGACAGGGCTCTTAAATCTGCCGATTTGTTTTTTGCTTGGTGGAGCTAAATGTAACTTTACAAACCATGTCCAATTTAGAAAGCTCACACACACCTGTCTTTGCTGCTTCCTTTTGTATTCTGGTAAACATGATACCGCCCAGCCACAGCGTGACTGAAAATGCCTTCCTGATGCATGTACAGACGTAGAAATACTGCTGCACGGAAGCCGTTGCTCTTCTCTCCAGCTTCTTACACGTCTTGCGTGTTGCTGTCCATGGTCCTTATCACCCAGAGCAAGCTCCCAGCTGCTGTCAAACTCACTTGGCCTTGACCCTATCCACTGTTTCTGTTGCATGTTCTGCCCACTCCTGGCACCAGTGCGAAGGCACTTGCCAGAGCGTGCCAAGTTTCAGAGTCCCATGGCTCCCGGGGCCAAGCATCTCCTTCCTTTTCCTGGTGAAGCCCACAGAGACCCAGCTGCTTCCATGGAGAGCCCAGATGGAGCCACTAAGAGGCACGGAGTGCCGCTGAATGTCCGTCAGAGGTGTTCCCTGCTTCCTTCTTTCACCCTCGATGCCTCTGGCCTGGCTCTCACTGGTCAACCAACAAATCCTCTCTCAGGTGCCCCAGAATGCCTGTCGCTCTGCAGGGCCAAGCGGCCAGGAGCCGTTGGTGGCCATCACGCCACGCATTCTCCAGGGCCCCCGTGCATCACTTCTCTGAGGGCATTCTCACGTGTGGAAATGGGAAATATGCTCAGCCACATCCTTCCGTTCTTTCTGACATGAGCAGGTTTCCCTGGCCTTCCATATGTGTTTGTAGCAGGGTCAGCTGGCCAGTCCATCTCGAGGGGGGGTGGCTGCCTCGTGGCCTTTGGTCAGCTTCTTCCTGCAAGATTCTGATTCCAGGAGCTGGTGCTTGGGGCAGCCCACCGTCCTGAGGGCCTCGTGGCCCTCATGGCCTGCAGGCTGGAGCTCTGCTCAGAAATCCCAGGCATCTGCCTCGGGGCTCTCACTTATTTCTTTGTTTCATTTTTATACCGCCCCTTAGTCCTTTTGGGCTCTCTGGGTGGCCTACAATTTAAAACATATAAATAATATAAAGAGATGTAAGAAATTAAGCTGAAGACATAGATACTACTGATGAAAAATTATTAATTATTCTAGCATTTTTAGCCCATTGCAACCAGCAGGAAGTCCTCGCTCAAGCAAAAGCTAAGTGTTACCCCAAAGCAGCTGCTGCATGCTAAGCTGCTCTTTTCTCCCAATTACCATCACAGGTTTTGCTTCGTGTCGGTGCAATCCGTGCATAGAAAGCCAGCTGCTGCTGTCAGTCCTGGGGCAAGATCCTGGCCCCGCTGCAGCTACAGCCCCGGGGTCTCCTGCTGACTTCGTCTAGCAGCAACTGGGAGGTGATCTGCCGGTAAGGGGGATGAGCTCTCTCCCTCCACCACAGGCTCCTGCCGCGCCACGCTGCCGCTCCTCACCAGCCCTTCCTGGGGACCTCCTCCTGCGCACCTGTGGCTGGGGGAGGCTGGCCTGCAAGCTGCCACTGCAGCGGGAGGATGCAGGAGCAGGTTGCGAGCACCCCCTGCAGCCCACGGGGCTCATCTGGCTGCCCCACGGC